TGCGTTTTATTAGACCGGTGACGACCGCACAGAGTAGCATTATAACAGAACTTTCAAATGTATCTAGTATGATAAAACAGAGCTGCTTTTTTTCCCACATACGCACGACCGGAATGAGTGGAAGCGGTAGACTGTGGCATAATAAAAGCTCCGCTGCTTTCGAGCCGTGTGTCACGCTCGTTCAGCGCCTCGTTTCGCTTCGACGGCTTTCAGCCTCACCCTGCTTCATTCATCTAAGTTAACAAATCATTAGCACATCCATGAACATGATTTCTGCCCGAGTCCCGTCGGATTGCTTCGGCTGTGGGGATGAAGACCACAACTCCCATGTCTCCACACTCAGTCACGGCATCATCAAACTACGCCTTTGCTCTTTGTTTATTTTGAATACGCGCCCTTCAGCGGCGAAAATTACATATTGTGCCTTTAATAAGAGGTTTCAAAAATAATGCATATATAGTAATTATACAAGAATTTAAATCAAATAATACAAAGTAATTATACAAAATATATGCAGTTGTCTTGACTAGCTGAAAAAAGTTTTATTATACTTCATTTCAGTTAACTTTAATTTTAATTTACTTAATTTTTTTAATTAAGTAATTTTCTTTTATATTTTTCAACTATTTAAAATTTTTTTTTGCATTTCATTGGTTTCATAAATAAAACGTATAAAAATTATCCAAGAATTCGATACAAATGATACAAAATAATTATACAGGAATATAATGTATATATGCAATTGGACTGGCATCTAGCTGAAATAAAATAAGTTAAAGTTTTTTAATATTTTATTTCAGTTAATGTTTATTTTATTTAAAACAATGAATCCTTTTTTTGTCGTTTTATTTAACCCTGTGATGATCGTGCAACTGTATACGCGCCACAAACTCAAATGTTGACAACCAAGACAGACTGTTCCCGTCAGAAACCGCAGGAGGCAGATGAGCCTTTGTTGAGCCACTTAAGAAAGATGATTTGATCTTCTTAGCTTATCGTTCTATTAGACGAGCACCATTAGCGATCTGCAGGGGATTCCTGTGCCCCCCGCCACACGCTTGGAGATCTGCTTCAGTCAGTCAGGCTGCTGGAATCCTGTCGCTCTTAATCAAACCAATTACAACACACTGGGCGTCAAATACCACAGCTCCTTAGCATGGTGACATTATGCACAAAGACGGCTGCTTTACGAGCGCTCTATAAGCTGACGGGGCCAATCTGCCTCATAAGAACTCTTCGTCTAAAGCAATACCTCATATGTCAACACAGGTGTTGAGTTACACAAACTGCGGCGGTAAACATAGACTCTAGAGGATGTTTCCATTCTCCTTGGATAATGAGTGTTCGGTGCATCTGGGTCAAAGCGTCACTTCGCATCTGCACATCTTTCCTTCAAACTGGTTATTCAAGGCCACAAACTGCCACACCAGATCAAAATGAAAACATGCCACACTTTATTTGGAGTTACGCAGGTCAAAGGTCGTGCTTTTGAGGAGAAAACCTCTCTTTTGAGAATTCAGACCACAGTAATTTTGTCAAAACGGTTCAGCCTTTCAGAAAAAAGCCACAGGTGTGTGTTTTGTCATTGTCAGCCATTTCTTCCGCCCGTGTTAATGTCTGAGGGATTTTAACACGTTGTTATGGCTCACAGAGACAGAATTAAAAGGATTCAAAGATGCCTTCATCCTAAAATCCAGTGAAAGATGTGGACAAGATCCAGGTAAAGTCAAAGATCTGAAGAGTTGACTGAAGAGAAGTGAAGTGAGTGTGCACACATGAGTTGTTCTCAGTCACTCTAAGCCTGTGCAATTTGACTCGCATGCAAACTACCAAAAAAACCCAAAAAAAAAACAGGTTCAAGTTCATACAGGGCTAGTTTATGACTGCATGAGCCAGAAAGATCATATTATGTTCGAATGTTTAGTTAACATGATGGACATGAAGTTATATGCCCTTTGTAAAAGAAACATAAAAGACACATTTTCTAAAACATTTTTCATTATGCAGTAATATAAAGTTTTAAATAACCAAAATGTCGAAATTATTACGTTTTCATTTTAGAAGAAAATTATTGTTATATTAATAATTATGATTATTAATATTAACAATAATCCATTCATATATATTATTTTCTAATACCTTGATGTTGAAAAATTTTTTATATTATTATTAATAATTGTATTTATTATTATTAATAATAATAATAATAATAATAATAATACATCAATGACAATAATACATTCTAATTTTATTTAAATTATTTTCAACAAATTGGAGTTAAAAAATTATATTAATGTATAATAAAAATATATCTTTTAGATACTGGAACTGGTCACTATCTTATATTTTTTAAACATTTTTAAACATTTTTGCTATTCAGCATTCATAATTAATGTATAAAAATAATTGTACAAGAACGAAATACAAATTATGCAAAATAATTATGCAGAAATTCTATTTAAAATAGTTTCATGTCAACTACTCAAATACACCTAATTTTCTGTCAATAAAATATAGATTTTATACAGACTATGCTTATGTTCACAAATACCATACCACCCAGACTAGTTTTACATTATGTATACTATGAATCTGTGTGCATGAAGTATGCAACTTTGCAGTATAAAACCTCAAAACACCCTATGGAAAATTCCCACAATGTGACATAATCAACTTAAAAATAAAAATAAATTAAATATATATATATATATATATATATAAGACATATACAAGGCAATTCCCATTATATATAAGACAATTCCCACAATGCAATGTTGTCTACTTGACCATCCATAGTAGCAAATATACAGTACTGCACAGTATGCAGTAAGCAGTCTGCTAGCATATTATTTATTAAAACATCATATATATGGCAAATAAGTCTGTTAAGATCCAAGCTCTCCATGGCTATGCAGCAAATGCATGTGTGTGTACCTGAAAGAAGCCCGGAGGAACGGGGCCGACCGGCATACCCTCTCCTGGGGGCATATTTCCAAGGACAGGACTCGGAGCTGCCGCTGCACTCTGCAATCACAAACACACACACAATTCCAGTTAAACACACACATGCATCCACCGGCGCTTCCCCAAACACTGCACCCTGATGGTCATTCACCACTCAAGGACAAACACATACACCCATAAACAAACAGTCCCTGGAAGCCAAAATCTCTTAGACAGACACATGGATACTGTCAACAGCTGCTAACCACCAGAAGAACTGGCTTTCTGTCTGAAAACACACTCTGCCGCCTCTGAAAAATACAAGCAAGCAGGCAGGGATGGTAGAGGTCAGATGGCAGGCCAAAGACACATGAAATGAGACAGGATTACTCTGAGGATGCAGAGAGCCACGGGCGGCCGCGCGCCCCATGCAGGGAGCTAATGAGGAGGCCGTTTAGGTTCCTGTGCTAGACTCAGTAAAGCACACACTCAGTGCTAGAAGAGAATGGGTCAGTCTGCAGACATAGATGGATGATGGGTCATCATGTTGACCTTAGATCTCCCTCTGGTGAAGTCTGTGCTCACAGGTTGCATCCCAAATCACTCAGTTTATTTATTTATTTGTTCATTTAGATTTATTTATTTAGATTTTATTTAGATAGATAGATAGATAGATAGATAGATGTTATTTATTTGTCAGTTTTCTTATATGTAATATATTATTATATAAATGTTATTTATTTATGTTAGTTATTTATCTAAATATAAATAATATTATATTAATTAATTATTATACAAATTGTATACATTTTATTTTATCATTATTATTTATAATTAACTATGAAAAATCATAATAATACCCATAATAATGTGTATGTGTGTGTCCAATTGCTATATATTATTTAAATATCATTACAAAAATATTATTTGTATTATTTGGCCACTTTATTAAAAATATTATGTATTTATATATTTATTCAAAACCTTTAAATTTAAACACACACACCTACACATATATATATATATATAGCCATATCACCCTGCAGCCCAAGACTGGTTGCCCACTGAAGCTAAGCAGGGCTGAGTCTGGTCAGTACCTGAATGGGAGACCTCTTGGGAAAACTAGGTTGCTGTTGGAAGAGGTGCTAGTGAGGCCAGCAGGGGGTGCTCACCCTGTGGTCTGTGTGGGTCCTAACGCCCCAGTGTAGTGACGGGGACACTATACTGTCAAACGCACCGTCCTTCGGATGAGATGTTAAACCGAGGTCCTGACTCTCTGTGGTCATTAAAAATCCCATGGCACTTCTCGTAAATAGGCGCCACTGGCCCTTGTCAATCATGGCCTTCTAATAATCCCCATCCACTTGATTGGCTCTATGACTCTCTCTCCTCTTCACCTGTAGCTGGTGAGTGCACAAGTGACAAACCGCAATGTTTTATCTAGCACAAGGGGGCTTGTAAGGCTCCGGGCCGGACTGGCACACACCGGCACGACCGCAGCGCCAAGACCAACTGTGCTGCAATGACTAGAGACTGTGTGTGTGTGGAGCATTACTGACATGCAGAGACACACACACTTAGACATAACAGTCTGATTACCCTTGGCACACAGGGAAATGAGCAGGGGAAATGCACTCACATCCGCCCAGTAATAACAAAGAAGTTGCTGGCAAATTGAAGGTGGAGATGTACGAATCGGAAGGAGCGTTTTCTAATGCTAGACGGCTACATGATGAAAATAGCTACAGCACTTTCAACAACAGTTCACCTAGATCAACAAGACGTAATAAAAATCACAACCGAGCGAGAGTGGCGCAAATGCCCGCACTGTTTTATCGACACCGAAGCCATCTTTTGTGGTGGTAAATAAGATCCCGCAGCGAGGGGCTGAATATTGTGTTTTCCTGCAGTAACGCTGAAGTCTCATCTCCTGATAGCAGCGGCACAATAATGAGCCTAATGCCCTCCGTGCTGAGCAAGCAATCTATCAAAACTACCAACAAAGATAAACTAACGTCCCTCGGCTCTTCACGGGTCCACAGTCAGTCATAAAACCCTCGCCGCCGAGGGCACGGCAATATAATCCGTCCTCTGATTAGAGTAACTTTCATTTAGCGTGCGTCCCATTCAGGGGAAACCAAAATGGCACTAATGTAATAAGAAAAGATGTCTGAATGTCTTTAAAACGAGCTGATAAAAGCGTTAACGCTGACCAGCCGCAGCTAATGTGTTTAAGTTTTTGGCTGACGTGGATTTGCAGCGGGTGTTTTCAATACAACTGATTATAGAAATCTGTGTACAAGATGTGCCTTGAAAATCACTTTGATCTAGAGATTCACTGACTCTCTCGTGTACAATTAAACGGACTGTTCACCCAAAAATGCACTCATCCTTCAATCATATTCATTCCAGTTTTGCAGAATGTCCTAAATTGGAGGACACTGTCAAGGCACTATATATCATAAATATAAATTAGAGTGAATTAACTACAATGAATAAAAAAATACCAATATATAATTAGTATAAATTATTTTTAGATAAATTACACTTAGATTTATTCATTAAATTGCAATAATATTAAATACTCAATACTATTGTATTGTGTTACATTTTTGTAACATACAAAACATCATTTATAATTAAAAATTAATAATGAAAATAATAAATATAATTATTTAAATATATAATTATATTATACATGCATGATATATATATTAGGGCTGTCAATCGATTAAAATATTTAATCGCGATTAACCGCATGATTGTCATGAGTTAACCCGTGATTAATCGCAATTTAATCGCGCATTTTTATCTGTTCTAAATGTACCTTAAATTAATACTTTTCAAGTTTTTAATACTCTAATCAACATGGGCATGGACAAATATGGATGCTTTATGCAAATGTATGTTTATTAGTGAAACCATACTCAACATAGAGCATGAAGACATGTTTCAAAGGTCATAGATGTTTTTCAAATAACTTGGTCATGTCTATTAGCATAACAGGTTCCCATTACTTCTCTTTCTTTGCACTGAGCAATTTACTTACACAAGTCTGTTTACATTTTCGCACGACAGGGCAGCTCCCTTCTTCTGAACATGCAAAATGTACATTTATTATTTATTATTACATTTGTTTGCCTCTCTGTGCCCCCATACTGTATTTTGATGCAGCTAAATTCTCAATAAAACTATTTTCATTGATATATTTTACTGTTTCTGTTGACAGACAACAGAATGAATATGAAATAGTGACTGAAACGCGACCCATTAAGATTACATAACCAGCTCTCCCTTCCAAGATGTTAATCTGTGCAAAAATCCTGATAATCGAGCTGTCGTCTGATGAAATCAAACACACATAAGATCAGGACAATAGCTGTACTGTGATTTCGGCTATACTTGCATGTAAAATTAGAAAAGCAACATAATAGCCACTGGTCAAACAGAAAATGCGCTCTGCGTTAATCGCGCGTTAATAAAATTAATGCCGTTAAAATGAATTTGCGTTAACGTTATTAACGCATTAATTTTGACAGCCCTAATATATATATATATATATATATATATATATATAATTTTTTAATAATATTTTTTGTCTTTTTAGTATATTATGTAATCAGATTACTTTTTCAAGTAACTAGTAAAGTAATGCAATACTTTTAAATTTACAACAATATATCTGAGTTACTTTGTTTTCCCATTTCTCACTGTCCAGCTCTCCTGTCCCTGTGTTGAGAGAAATTGGGAATGAGGTGCAGAGGCAGAGGCCCTTCCTTCAGCCTGAGGCTTATTCATTTCACTTAGGAGTTGGCAAAAAATATAACTTTTGGGTCTTTTTGTTATTAAAAAAGAAATAAAGTCCAGCCCAGGTGACAAAAGGTGACACAAAAGTAACGTAATGCATTACTTTCAATAAAAAGTAACTAAATACAGCAATTAGTTACTTTTTCATGGAGTAATGCAGTATAGTAATGCATTATTTTTAAAAGTTACTTTCCCCAACACGGTGTTTATATATATGATGGAACAATTTTTTTATTGAATGGTCGAACCATTTTTATTAATGTATTCATTTTTGGGTGAACTATTCCTTTAAGATAAAAAACAAACATTACCGGCCAAAGCAAACAATCGATGTAAACAGCAATAAACAAGCACTTAAGACGTAGCTTGGCTGCAAATAATACTTGCCCCACCTATTGTAAACCTACCACCTTTTGGCAAAGGCATTTGTATTATGAATTATTGAGTGGTTACTTTTCAGGGACTACAGTTACCGTTTGGCTCAGTGGCACCTTGGGTTTAATTCAGCCGTTTCTTAAGTCTTCAGAGTTAAGTGTAATGGGCCTGTAAGCTTTACATTCTTGCAACAGAGAGCCTAAAGTGCCGAGTGTAATAACGCCATTCTTGGAATTGTGAGGGAACTGATAAAATGCACATCCTGCTGGGAGTTTATTTAAGAGAAGACGGTAAAGGATTAAAACAGCGTGGCCTGACGCATATTCGGCACGCCGGGTATAGCTTAACAGCTATTTAAGCACAGGTTTAGCTTTAAAACCTGTCAACAGCAGCACAGATCTCATTGGTGAATGCTGTTTGGCAGAGCAGTTATGGGTACCGCAATCGTTTGAGCTTCTAGTACTGCAATCGTTCGAGCTTGTCCCCGTATGCCAGACCCTTGCCATCAATTGGCAGGTCTGTCCTCCTGTGTCCAGTCTGCGAATGTTAATTAAAGGACTTCTGACAAATAACAACTCAACAACCTGCCGCGAGAGTCCCTCCACCTGTGCTGCCCACTTGATTCCTAGTGGTTACGGAGTGTGTTCCTGATTAGCACTGATTAATGAAATCAATTAGCTGCGACAGGGAGTGGGAATGAGTGACAGGAGAGCGCTGGACTGCTAACGGACGGTCCACTATCAATATCAGAGACACTCATAACTCATCGGTGTTACTTGTGGGCACTTCTTTGTGCTGATTACTGACCAATTTGTCATCAAAACTCTGGTACAAATTGCATAAGCTACCTTCATGTAGGAATGATCTCATTTACAACATGAGTGCATCCACAACACTGT